GGCACCGCACCGGCCATGACTAGCGTGGCACTCTTGCTCCGGGCGCTCGGCTCGGGGAAGGCACAAGGCAGCGATACCGCTACTCCCCCGACCTCTCTCGGGGGCGCGCAAACATGGATTCGCGATCCATGGGCTTGGCGCGCGGTCGCCTAATCCATGGATCGGGCGAGGTGCCCTCCCCAAAAAGCGGCCGGTGCCGCCTCGCTCGGCGGCGGAAATCCGCGATCTCCCATGGAAACGAGACCCGTGACTAATCCACGCCCCCTTGATCCATGTTTGCGATCGCCTGACTCTCCTGGGGTGCGCTCTGGCCAGATCTTCGAGGCTAGTCTGGCGGCGGCGACAAGGGCTTCCCGGGAGGCCCAAAGCAACGAAAGCGAGGCGAGGGCAGCTTTGCCCATCGGTCAGGAGAAGTAAGTAGAAACATGAAGCAGGAAAACATTGAAAATAGGTTGGGTTCCGTCCGCACCCTTAGGAGGACGGAAAAGGTGAAACCACTCGATCATCTAAGTAGGAAGGCCCTTAAAGTAGATTGGAATCTGGGAATCCAAAAAATCCTACTTTCAACGACCGATGGGTGTCGGTTTTTCTCCTCCAAGGAACTCAGCTCTGCCCACGCCGCCTCGTCTGCGGGGCCAATCTGTATACACCACCACCGCCCGCATTAACAAAGAATCGCAAACATTGTAGGAGGCAGGGTCATGCCAGACGACGCTGTGACACCGCGGCGAACAGGAGCGCGGCGCGGCGCGCGGGCGCCGTGGCCGTGGTCGGGAAGTTCCTGAAGCAGGAGCAACACTTCTCGGTGGTTGTGTATAACAATCGCTCCTCTCTGTGACCAAAACAGTGTACACCACCACCGCAAGTGTTTTGATGAATCCGGTTTCGGTCCTTAAGAGAGGAGGGGGCAGCCCTGTTGCCGTTGGCTGCGGAGGGGGGGGCGGGTTTTCTACTTGAGCAAGACTGCTCCAACTCGGACCGTAGATTTTTGTCAGATCTTGGTGGTGGTGGTCATATATGAGGGGCCCAGGGACACACAAAGAAACACGCACACACAGATCCCAGGATCCCCCACATCTTTCCATAGAATACTTGTTGAAGGGGATCTCTTCGTCTTCCCCCCCGACTTCCCACATCTTCCCATGTCCCCCCATAGCTCGAACACATCTACAACTACACACAGCAAAACTGCACCTTGTTGCGGGGACCAGGGGTGGCAATCATAACTCGATTTGGCGCGTCGGTCGGTCTGGGTGGACGGACGCCGCCTCACGACCTACGATGGAATGCGATGGTCGTGCCGACGACGTTGCGTGCCAAGCGTGGAAGCGATCACCACGTTTCACGGCGAGGCTTGGCGGCAGCCGCAAGAAGAATCATAACACGAAAAAGCGCTCACCCTCGGACGGGGAATCCGGCACGAAGAAGAATTTGAAAACGCGGGGGATCGGATCGCGAATTTGCTGCTGGGGCACGGGCGGGGGAGGAAAGCGGGCTGCGCGATGTCGAGGCCCCCAGGCATACGGCTGGCTTCGCTGAGCCAGGGGATGCGGGATGTCGGTGGGGAGCGGCCCAGGGGGCGGGGCCTCGGCGATGGGCAGCGCGGGCAGCCGATGCCTCGCGAAAAGGGGACACGTGCAAAACGGCACTTAGCGGCCGGGGCGCGGTACACGTTGGGGGCGCGAGTGGCGGCACCCGACATGCACCCCGCCCCGCTGGCTAGGTATAGTTCTATAACTGCTCAGTTTTGTGGGGATGTCTCCGGCGAAACCAGCACGTACAAAACTACACCTAGTGCCTGGCTAAGTGTAGTTCTGAACGCGCTGGATGTCTCGCGCGGGGCGAGCACGTACAGACCGGCACCCAGCGAAACGGACGGGGTACACGTCGGGTACGTCGTCGCGCCCCGCCCGCAGAATCAGGAAGGCAAGGGCCGCTGAACCCCCTGCCGGCCTCCGGGCGGAGGTGTCTGAACGTCCTGGGGCTATCAGAAGGAATTCCAACTGCGGCCTCCGCCCACATCGCTCCCCCTATCAAAGTATCTCGCCTGGTCACTATGTTCGCAATTCCCGCCCGCTGTTTTGCCCTCCCCCTCCCCGTTCTTCCTCTACCTGCCGCCCTCCATTTCCCTGAGCGTGTCCTAGTTGCCCCCGGCCCCTGCGTGGCGGCAAACGCCCGCGCCCCCCCGCAGCTGAAAGACTCACCTTGCGCTCATCCTCCAACCCACTCGTGAGGCGCAAGCCTTGCTTCCAGACTGACACTGGCAAGAGACGCCGAGGCCTTGGCAAATCCAACAGGCGCGATCGGCCCCCTCGAATGGCGGGCGCACCAATACGTAAGACGATGTCGCAAAAGTAAGTTTGGAATTTCGGGATCCGCGCAAGAAGCTAATCCACTCGCCCAAAGTGTAGTTCCATGCCTGCCCGACATAGCCCCCATCTATTCATTGTGTCTGTGTGTTTCCCCCCTGCACATATTGTTTGGACGCCCGAAATGGGCACGGAAAGAATGAGTACAATGCCCAACAACAAGTGTGGTCCCAAACCAACAGCGGCCGCTGTTGGGCAGGCGGCCCCCTGTCTCGAATGGACACAGGCCGCGGCGGCGCGGACAGCGAGGCCTGTTCAAAATGAACAAGATCCGCTGTTGGGCATTGTACCCATTCTTTCAGTACCCATGTCGTGCGTGCAGATGCTTGAGATTGTGCTCGGACGCGATCGCCCCCCCCGGCAGGACGCCCCCCGCTCCGCCCCCGGCGCGCCTCGCCCGAGAGAGGCTCTCTCTCCGCGCGGGGGGGCGCGGGGCGGCTCTCCGCCCCCACCAAAGCGCCGCCCCCGCAGCGGCATCCCCGAGGCGCCAGGCGCTCCCCCCCTCCTCCTGCTGCTGCTCCTCCTGCTCCTCCTCCTCCTCCTCCTCCTCGTCCCCCTCCTCCTCCCTTCTCCCCCTCCCTCTCCTCCTCCTCCTCCTCCTCCTCCTCCTCCTCCTCCTCCTCCTCCTCCTCCTCCTCCTCCCCCTCCTCCTCCTCCTCTCCTCCTCCTCCTCCCCGAGATATGAGGCCACCTCCGCTGCAGCACGCGCCACAGCACGCGCCGCCAGCCTTTGTCATGCACAGTAGGGGCCCGACCACAGGAAACCTTCCACAAGAAGCCCAGCCCTCAGACCCCAGGACGTCCCTTGATTTTTGGTGTGGAAGCGTCACGCTTTCCAGAGCAAAACTATTGAAACCCAAGAAATCCAAGGCACCCTGGAGGCAGGCAGGGTGGTTCTTTCAAAGCACGAGCCGGCAACCTTTTCCTTGTTCAGTCGAGTTCGATTGGAGAGGACTTGCCATAATTCGCCGGCCCAACGGGCCAGAGGCGTGCTAAGATCTCCGGTAACTGGTTCACAATTCTTCTAGTTCGGGCGCGCGGGGCGGCCCCTGGGGGTCCCCCGGCGAAAAGTACCCCGACCGCAGCCCGGGAAGGTCCCGGGAAGGTCTACTCAGAGATGATTTTCCTCCTGGGTACGGCCTCTCAGGCCCCCCAGAGCGCGCCGAGAGGGCCCCAAGAGGCCCCCAAGACTGCCCAAGAGGCCCCCGAGACGCCCAAAGGACGCTCCAAGACGCCGAAGATGATCCCAAGACGGCCCAAGAAGCCGCCAAGAAGCTCCAAGTGGCCTCCAAGAGGCCTCACAAGAGCGCTCCGAGAGGCCAAAATCATACATTTTACGATGGTTTTGGGAGGATTTTGGTCTTGTCGCAGTTTCGGCTTTCCTATGCTCCAAGACGGCCCAAAAGGCCCCCAAGAGCGCACGAAGACGGCTCAAGAGGCCCCAAAGAAGGCCCCCAGAGAGCCCAAACGGGCCCCGAGACGGCCCAAGAGACGCCCAAGACGGCCCAAGAGAGCCCCAAGACGGCCCCAAGAGGGGCCCAAGATGGGGACCACGAACCGAAACCTCAAGCCTTCCGCCCCAAGAGGGCCCCAGGAGGCCCCGAGAGGCCCCCAAGATGGCCCCAGATGCCGCCAAGAGGCTCCCAAGAGACCCCTGGAGGCTCCAAGGAGGCTCAAAAGAGGCCCTACAAGGCTTCAAAAATGTCTCCCAGGCGCCCCCGAACGGCCTCTCAACAGACCCCAGGGCCTCCCAAAGAAGCATCTGGACGACGGCCCTGTCTGGCCCCAAGAGCGCCGCAAGATGCCATCGAGAGGCTTCCTCCTCCGCCCTTTTCTCTTCCTCCTCCTCCTCCTCATATTTATCTTCACCCTCCTCCGTTCCTTTTCATCCTCTTCTCCTCCTCCCCTCCCCCTCCCCATCCTCATCTTCCTCCTTCCGGCGGCGCCGAAATGGCCCCGAGCCCGCGCCGAAGCAGTAGCGATCATGCAATACGGGCCGGCGGAGTGAGCGAAGCGATTGAATTAGGAATGGAAGAAGGCATGGGTCGCGAAGCTCAGGACACAGGGGTACCCTCTATTTGGCAGGGTCGACCTACTAATCAATCAGCCTCGACTGTATGGCACAGGCCTGAAGGCCCGACTGATGGCGCAGGCCTGAAGGTTATCCGCGGCCCCGTCCCCATCCGCGCCTCTCCGACTCTGGCGACCACGTCCGATCCCGACGCCCTCTCTGGCACCAGCTCCGTCCCTCCGGCTCCGGCTCCCATCACTCCCTCTCTTCTCCTTCCCTCCCCCCTCTCCCCTTGCCTTCCCTTCCACTCCCCCCCCCGTGTTGCCCGAGTCCGCCCTCCCCGCGTGCCCGGGAATCGAGGCCTCCTAGATGGGGTTCGAGTGGATGGGGTCGAAGAATCGCGCCGCATCGCAACTGCATCGCCGATGTATCGGCGATGCATCGGCGATGCATCGGCGACGTCGGCGACGCAACCGAGACGTCGGCGTGGGGGAAATCGGGCTCCTCATCGAGCCGCATGGTCGATGCATCGACGATGCGGCGCGATCCTCCGACCCCATCAACTCCGACCCCATCTAGGAGGCCTAGAGGGAAGCCCTGCGAGGTCTCCCTCGGCTGCGTGCTCGTTTGACCTGCGAGCTGCGCGCCACACTGGTGCACCCATCGAGCTCGCGCCGCCGCGCTGCCGCACCCATATGAGTATCGTTTAACCAATCCTCATCCCCAGTGGCGTGGCCTGGGCCCCGCTGGCCGATGTACCCCCCTAGATGGTGATATAGCTCGTTCTCTTCGGGTTTCGAAGGGTATACGCCCGACTGGGATGGTAATGCGGTGGGAGTCTCGAAGGGTATGGAGATGGGGATGGGGATCGGTTAAACGATACCGACCATCCGTGCGCTCAGAACGGCCGCCGGGCTGCCCCCCCACCCTGGCAGCGCGCTGCACCTCAAGCGCCCAGCTTGATCGCCCACTTCCAGTCGACGTTGCCGTCTGGATCGACGTCGCGGCCGTCGCACTCCACCGTGTCAATGCGGCGCATCCCCAGCTTCGTGAATGCATTGATCCCTGGAGTGGAGGGACGAAGGCGTTCAGGCATGCATCCCTCCTCCTCCTCCTCCTTCTGCTGCTGGTTCCCCTCCTCTCCTCTTCCTCCTCCTCCTCCTCCTCCTCCTCGCAGTCCTTCCCATGACCCCCTGTGCCCCCCCCTGTCGGGATGCCTCCTCCTTCCTCCGCCTCCTGCCTCCGTCTCCCTTGGTCCGGGCCGGAAGGGCAGGGCGGAGCGGAGCGCTCGAGGAAGAACCGACTCAAGAAGCACAATCTTCCAGAGGCCTGCGCAGATTCCTGCAGTGGGGGGAGGGACGAGGAGGAGGGGGAGGAGGAGGAGCAGTGAAAGGAGAAAGGAACCAACAATGACATAAACACAATAACTTGGATGTCCGTGCGGATTTCTCGGACCGGCGCTTGCCCCCCCCTCGCTGGCGCGCGCGGCGCGCCAGAGGCGGCGCCAGGGGAGCCACCGGCGACGCCGCCAAGGGGGAGGGGGCGCGGGAGCCGATCCCAGACATCCGCGCGGAGCTCCGGAATCCTGCGTGAGCGTCTATTATGCACTCGTCTTCTGCAGGCAGAGCTAGCACAAGACCCCGACGCTGGCCCGAAGAGGGTGCTGAGCTAGCCCTCCAGACATCCGACGACATTACGGTTCTGCTCAGCGCACAGGCCTGAAGGCCCCGACCCCTTCCCCGGGGGTAGCTCGCCCCGGACTCTTGGGGCCGGATGGAAGCTGAACTCGAGGAAAGTGGTAGTTGTTTTACTCATCGTTTTGCCGATCGGCGCGGGCCCCGCCCCTGACCCCCCCCCATGGAGTAGACCTACGCTGTCTTTGGCGCCTGCTTCGAGCAGGCGGAGCCTCCCCCATTTGGACGCCCTGTCGCAAAGAGTCGCACTGAGCAGAAGTCTGGAGCCAGACCCCAATGTCGAATCGCCGAATATAGACGCCTCCTAGATGGGGTCCGAGTAGATGGGGTCGGAGGATCGCGCCGCATCGGCGATGCATCGGCGATGCACAGGCCGTACAATGGCGACGTCGGCGGTGCATCGGCGACGTCGGCGTGGAGCAAATCGGGCTCCACATCGAGCCGCATCGCCGATGCATCGCCGATGCGGCACGATCCTCCGACCCCACCTACTGCGACCTCCCGTCTGGAAGGCCTGGAAGTGTCGAAACGCCGAACGCCCACAGACGCGCTGGGATCCGTCTCCCTCACCTCCTCCTCCTCCTCGCTCCTCCTCGCCTCCTCCTCCTCCTCCTCCTCTCCTCCTCCTCCTCACTCCCCTCCTCCTCCTCCTCCTCCTTCCTCCGCTATCCTCGCTCCTCGCTCCTCGCTCCTCGCTCCTCCTCCTCCTCCTCCTCCTCCTCCTCCTCCTCCTCCTCCTCCTGCGCCCTGGCGATCTGCCAGTCGGCCCGAGGCATCGCTCTGGGGGGTCTCCCGCGGCCGTGCGGGGACGCCCCGGGGGCAGCCCCGAAGAGCGCTCCCGGCGAGGCGCTGCAGAGCCTCCAGACGCTCGAACGCCTCGGGGAGCCAAGGAAAGCGGTGAAAAGCCCAGATCTAACACGGCGCAATACAGCATCCACATGTTCGAAAACCTCGGGGAACCGGAGAAACCGTTTTGGAAAACCCAGATCTCAAACGGCGCAGCAGAGCATCCAAATGTTCGAAGACCTCGGGGAGCCAAGGAAGGCGTTGAAAAGCCCCAGTTTCGAACCGAACGGAACAAAGAGCTGCAAGACAACTCTCTCGGAGTTCCGCGCGGACTTTTCGGATCGGCGCTGGACGCCCCTCCCTGACGCGCGGAGAGCGCGCCAGGGCGGCGCGCGAGCCGAGACGCCGATATCAATCCGAGAACTCCGCGCCGGGCTCCAAAGACTCTAGTTGATGCAGCTGTTTCGTCTTCGACTCTAGAGGCCTCCCACATGGGGTCCGAGTAGATGGGGTCGGAGGATCTCGCCGCATTGCCGATGCATCGGCGATGCATCGCCGATGCATCGGCGATGCATCGGCCGTACAATGGCGACGTCGGCGGTGCATCGGCGACGTCGGCGTGGAGAAAACTGGGCCCCAAATCGAGCCGCATCGCTGATGCATCGCCGATGCATCGGCGATGCGGCGCGACTCTCCGACCCCATCTGCTCGGACCCCATCTAGGAGGCCTAGATGTTTCGTCTCTGGAACCTGCGATACCAAACATGCGACGTCCTGACTTTTTCACGACGACATCTCTGGATCGGGCGTTCACTAATGGAGGGGCGATACATGACCTTTCGTGGCCCGAGGCCTGGCGAGAACCCTCGGGGCCAGATCCCAAAACCTCCCGTGCTCACTTTTTTACGAAGCGATCATGTCTGGGAACACGCATCAAAACCGCGGATCACGAACCTCCGAGCTGCGAGGAGGCCCCCCGTGCCAGCCCAGAGAGGGCCTGCGGCGTGCCGGCGGTCCGGCCGCAGCTCGCACGAGAAGCTCGGCAGCAGCACGCGCAGCAGCTCCAGCAGGCGGCGGGACTGCCCTGGGAAAAAACAGCCGCGCAACTCCGCGATGGTTCGGCGGCTCAGAGATGCTAGGAGGCATGGTACCCATGCCTCTGCCCCCTCGCCCGTTTTCCGCTTTCTGGGCCTCCTGTGAGGCCCTCGTCGCCACCGCTGGATTCGCCTCGAAATCCTGGTCAGAACGCACCCCGGGAGAGGCCCGGGGAGGAGCGGTATCGGTACCTTTTGGTCTCCCCAATCTACCAAGAGGTCTTCGTCGGCAAGATTGAAAAGGATGAAGCCCCATTGGGGGGCTCTTGCGCCAGATCGGGCCGCGGACAAAGCGGGATAAGCCGGATGGAGCGAGCTTAAACCGGATTTGGAGGGATTCAACCTGATGAGTCCGAATTTCGGACCAGGGCAAAGTGAGAATTTGACCTGACAGGAGTTGCTTCCGAAAAAATGGGCCCCTGCCCACACACGTGCTTGCGTCGCAACAGACCAAAAGAACCTTGCGAAGAACCGCGAGACAAATGAGGCGAAAGAAGAGGAGCCCCCCAAAGGGGCCACGAGCCGTGTCAGGGGCGTGCCGAACCGGACATGCAGTGGGTGGGGAGCCGCATGCGAACCCTGGCATCGGGGCCTTCAGTGGAGCTCCCTAAAGGGCCACGAAACGTGTGAGGGGCGTGCCGAGATGGACTCGGTGGGCGGTGGGCCGCATGTGAACCCTGTCATTGGAGCACTCGGTGGAGCTCCCCATCGGGCCACGAACCGTGCGAGGGGAGTGCCGGAATGGACATGCGGTGGGCGGGGAACCGCATGCGAACTGCGCCACAGGGCCTTCGGTGGAGCTGCCTGTGGGGCCACGAAATGTGTGACGGGTGTGCCGAAATTCGTCGGGCGGCCGCATGAGAACTCACCACGGAAGCCATCGGTGGAGCTACCTATGGAGCCACGAAGCGTGTGACGGGTGTGCCGGAACTCGTCGGGCGGCCGCATGCGACCCCACCACGGAGGTCCTCGGTGGAGCTCCCTATGGGGCCATGAAGCGTGTGACGGGTGTGCCGAAACTCGTCGGGCGGGCGTATGCGACCCCACCACGGAGGTCCTCGGTGCAGCTTTCTGTGGGGCCACGAGGCTTGTGGCGGGTGTGCCGGACTGGGTCGGGGGGACGCATGCGAACTCACCCCGAGGCGTTCGGGCCCCGAGTGGAGCTGCACATGCGGGGGCCTGTGTCTCCACAACGAGGACCCGACTGAACACAGGACGGTTGGGAACAAAAACGCGACTGCAGATCCCTGGTCGTTTTCCCTTTATCGTTTTCGGCCGCCAGGGGCCCTCGCCTGTGCCCATCTGCTACACGCAAGAGCGACCCTGGGTCAGAGGGACCTCTGGTGCGCGGCTTTTTGGGGGGCCGCGGGGGGACCAACCTTACGCGCGCAAGACGCTTTTATCGCATCGCGCTCGGTGATCGGGGGGCCCCTATGGGCCCGCACCAAAGGTCACTCTGGCGAATGGTCACTCTTACGTGTAGTCGGCCCAAGGACATCAAAGAACAACCCGCGATGAAAACCGGCCCTGGAGAAGGGCCGCGTCATCCGGGGGCCCCGTGAGATGTCTGGGGAGGGCCAGGGCCCTATGGTGGAAGAGATAAGCGCAAACCGAACTGTCGGAGCTCCGCGAGCTCCTCGTCCTCCTCGTCCTCCTGCACCAGCGCCGACCCAAGACATCAGCGCGGACCTCCGAACATTTCTGCTTATGCAATTTGCCTTCTTCGACCTGAAGACGGATGGCCTCGGTTTGGTCCGGAAGCCGTTTCGCCTGAGAATTCTTCACAACGTATTTCGAATTCGTGGTCGCACCTCGATGCGGGCTGCAGTATTTGGTCTGGACGGCCACGATCCCTTGGGGTAATCACGACACTAGCGTGCACATGGTCGTGCTCTCGCACCTGTCCCATGTATGTAGCCGACCTCTGCTGCCATTCGACTGCGCTGCCGGGGCCAATCTCTTCTTCGACCCGAGGACGGGGTGGCCTCCAGCAGCGAAGGCTCAGCTCGGGACCCCTAAAACAGGGCTAGGATCGGGATAAATCGCTCCAGAGCGTTCCGGAGCGCTCTCAGAGCGTTCCGCAACGCTCTGGAGCGGCCGCGGCGCCCAATACATCCTCCAAACCCGCCGATTCTCAGAGATTTCGAATTATCCCGATCCGATTTTGTCCCGATCTTCGCGTCGTTTTGACCCCGCTCCTGCCCCCAGGTGGGCCCCCTCCCCCAGAGCCCGGCGGCCGCATAGGCTCGGCCTGGAGCCCCGTCGGCGGTTGAACGGCCCCTCCACGGATCTGCCGGCATAGAGAAGGGCTCGAGGAATCGCGGCCGGGGCCCCGGGCCCCGAGGGTCAGGTCCGGGTCCCTCGGCCTGAGACGCTCCCCAGGAGGCCCCCGAGGAGCCCCCCGGGAAGTCCCCCGAGAGGCCCCCCGAGAGGCCCCAAAAAGAGGCCCGCCGGCAGCCCCAAGGGGCCCCCACGAGGCTCCCGAGCGGCCCCCGAGAGCCTCCCAAGAGGCCCCCAAACTACCCCCAAGAGGCCCCCGAGAGCGCTCGTCGTCGTCGTCGTCGTCGTCGTCGTCGTCGTCGTCGTCGTCGTCGTCGTCGTCGCCATTCAGGCTCGGCGGCACTGGCCGTAAGGCCTTCGCAATAGAATAGAACACATCCAAAAATCGCGACTAGAGCCCCTGACCCCATCTTTCTGCATCATCATTCTTCGAGCTGGATCGATCTGTGAGGGTCCCGTGGCCTGATCCTGGGCAAAAAAACGCGCGTTGTGACAAAAGTGCAGCGCCAGGATCTCAGGGGGGCTCGGCGGCCGAACGAGCTCCGGCGCAGAAGGGGCTCCGAAGCGAGCCTCTGGGCCTCTCAGGGCCCCACCTCTGGACGCGTCACACTACTCGCAAAGTAGCTGCTCGCACATGGCCCGGATCCGCCGCGGGGGATTTACCATGCATTGAATAAGGGAAAACATGTGTTTCTAGGACGTTTGCGAGTAGGCACTGTGGGAGCAGTGGAACACGCTCGGTGAACCTTTGAGCCGCCGAGACGTGCAGCGCACCGCCCGCCCTGCCGCTGGCGGCGCCAGGCAGCGACTGCGTGCTGACGACCTCCGCGAAGCAGGGGACGGCGTGCGCGAAGGGCGTCGGCGCGGCCAGCCGCGGCAGCCTCGCAGAGGAGAGCCAGCGGAAGCAGCCGCGCGGCCCCTCCGCCCAACCCCAAGGCCGCTTAAGCCCCTCCTCCTCCTCCTCCTCCTCCTCCTCCTTTCCCTCCTCCTCCTCCTCCTCCTCCTCCTCCTCCTCCTCCTCCTCCTCCCCTTCTCCTCCTCCTCCTCCTCCTCCTCCTCCTCCTCCTCCTCCTCCTCCTCCTCCTCCTCTTCCTCCTCCTCCACCCAACCCAAAGTTTGCTTCAGGTCGGTATCCGGACCTCTCCCAGGGGGTCCACCCTGCCCGGAGGTTCGCTTCTGAGCCCGTTCGGCATCGGCGCCCGTCCGGCCGCCGCTTGGGCTCGAGACCGAGCCTGCTTGGCCGCAGAAGGGGCGAGACTCCCACCAGCATCCTGGATCTGAGCTCCTTCGGCGGCGGAACTGGCTCACGCGCCGACTGGCCCCAGCAGGAACACCTGGAGCCGCCCGTGTGTCGAGACGGGTCCTGTCGTGGCGACGAGAGGCCGAATGGAGGCCTCAGAAAGGACTCCGCTATCCCGACTGCCCTGCAGTCATCCGACGTCGTGACATTGTTTATGTTGTTCCCATCGTACTTAAGGACCGCACCCCAGAAATAATTTCGAGCACCCAGAAAAGTGCCGAAACAGTGTCGAAACAGTGTCGGACGAGTCTTCCAAGGCCCGACACGTGAAAAACCTCGAGTGTCGGTACTTTTTGGGGGCTCGACATTTCTTTCTGGTGACCAAGGCTATATTAGGTTGGAACATCAGAAGACTTTGGCAGCAACGTGGCCACACCCCTTCCCCGGGACCAGTTCCTGATCCCGAGAGTCGCGTGCTGACAGCCCCCTGGGCCCGGCGAAGGCCCCCGGAGGCCGCAAAGGGCGAGCAGAACGCAGCGATTTGTCCCACGACGCGAGCGTGTCAGGGCATGGCCCTCCCCATACCCCGATGCCTCGCGGGCTCCCTCGCCGCGCGCGTGACCGGGGCGCCGAGGAAGTGCTGGCGGAGCACGTCGAGCAGAGCGTGCGTGCGCCAGGCGCCCCGGAAGAGCAGCGCGCTGCTCGCGGGGGCCGCCGCGTGGGAGCTCTCGTGCCTCACGTTGTGGCCCTCGCTCCTCGAGCGACGGCGACGGCGACGACAACGGCGCCTGCGACGGCGACGACGACGACGACGACGACGACGACCACAACTGGATTCTTGTTCGCTGTTTTCGGCCTCCGGGGGCCCTTCGTTACTGGACTTCGGGACTGCCGAAAAACTACTCAGGACGGAAAACCAGTCCCAGGGAAGGGGTCCAGACTTTTGGGGGTCGACGTCGTGAAGAAATCATGGCGCCAGGGGTCTGGGGTGTGCGGGCGCCAGCTGCGGTCAAGAACTTTTGCTTAGCGTGTCGCGCCGGCGACCCCTGCGACACGCTTTGCCATGCAAGCTGATAGCTTGTCGCTCCGCTCCGCAGGGCGGGATGCGGGGCAACGCTCGGGACGCTGACGCTTGGAAGAGGGGACGTGGTTTGCGGCATGCGTGTCGCGCCGAAGCGTGGTGGGCATGAGCCGGCGCCGCGACACGCCAAGCCAAAGGTATACAGTCAACCCGTATAGGAAGGATGCGTGGTAAGGATGCACGTGCCTTGGACGCCCATGCCGAAGCTCGTCGAGCGGGGCTGGCCATCAAAAGTGTCTGAGGATCGGCCGAATATGACCGAAGAGGCAAGCTGCAAGGGTACCCTTCGAAGTCGGCCATACTTCCTATCAAAAATGACTGTACCCATCATACGTCGCATCGGTGTACGGTAGATTCGTGCGGCGTCGGCGCGAGCTAAGGTTTTTGACACCGCTTCGATCGTTCAAACTGAATCGATCGCGGCCCCGATCGTTGAAGGATAAACTCCGTCGCGTCCGTTGGCGTTACCGTCTCCCTCAGTGTTTCCGCATCTTCCCAGCATGCGGAGTTCGAGCCTGAACGCCTTCGCTGGCGTCGCCAGCGAGCCACCGTCGCATGAACCCATCGTATACGCCCCCCAGGGTCTGCGTGAGCACCAGTGTCGGTCAGGCCTCGGGCTGCGTCCCGACGGACCCCCTCCCAGCTGGCCTCAGCAGGCCCCACCGAGTAGTCCCAATAGGCGAGCCCCGATAATCCGCCGGCCCCTTCGTGGGGCGACCAGGCTGTGGGGCTAGGTTGCTGCTCCCTGCGCCAGTTGCAGTTGCAAGTCTCCAATGTTACAGTCCTGCCTTCTGAATCCTACTGTAAAGTCCGCGCAAGGGGGGGAGGGAGCCCCAAGCCGGCAATTTACCACCCTCGGATCGCGTGCTCTGAATTCCCAGGGGGGCGCGTGACACGTAAAAATACATGAGATTCGCGGCCCCGAGGCCATAATCCGTCGTAAAGTACTCCGTGCTCGCGTCACCGGCGCGTCACAAACCTTCGTAAACTATGCAATCATTGCGCCCCCGAGGCAACAAGCCCTACGTAAATTACGCAAGATTCGCGTCCCCGAAATCGTAATCGCTTTAAACGTATGAAAGATTCGCATCCCCGAGGCCATACACCTTCGCAGATGACACAATGTGTGCGTCCCTGGGGCAACAAGCCGTTGTAAATTACGCAGCACCCGCGTCCACGACGCCATAAATCATCGCAGCTTACAACGTATTCGCACTGCCGAGGCCAAGAGTGCTCCAAGGCGCCCGAAGATGGTTCCAAGACGGCCCAGGAGGGCCCCAAGAGCGCTTGAAGAGGCCGCCAAAATCGTCGGCGTTACGAAAGTATTTGAAGGACTTTGGCCTTCTCGCATTTTGGGCGTTCCGACGCTCCAAGGTGGCTCTAGAAGCTCCCAAGACCGCCCCAAGACAGCCCAAGACGCTTCAAAGAGGTCCCCAAGATGACCCAAGAAGCGATCCGAGAAGCCCCGGGAAGCCCCCAGGAGGCCGCAAGAGGCCGCCAAGAGGCCCCAAGAGGCCCCAAGATGCCCCAAGAGGCGCCCAAGACGCGCCGAAGAGGCCTCCAAGAAACCCTAAATACATTCCACGAGGCCCCAAGAGGCCCCCAAGAGGCGCCAACACCGCCTCCGAGAAGCCCCCGAGAGGCTCCCCACAACACCCCAATACATTTACAAGAGGCCTCAGACCCACTCCCCAAGCACGGTGGCGGGATGGGCCGAAGGCTGCTAGGAGAACGCCTACGTCTCAATTTGCACTGATGATTCCTATCTGCCCCCGCATGATGTTCCCGGATGCGCCAAGATGGCGCCGAGACGCACCGACGCGACTCAGCTATATCCCCATTCAGATAGAGAGGGGGCCGGCCGCACGGGGCGAAGCCCCTACGGATAAGGACGCACGATAAGGATGCAAAAGGGCCTTGGAAAGCCATGTCCGCACTTTGCGGCCGGGGCGCGGCCAGCGAAAGCGAGCAAGGATGGACCGAAGGGGAAGGATGCACGGGTACCTTGGAACGTTGCTCATCCATACTATGCGTGTTGACTGTAGTTCCAGCTGGCATCAACATGCCCCCGAGTGGTCGGGGGTGGACTCAACACCACGGCGCCGCCTCCGGCGGCGCCCCTGGGGCGCTCCGCGCCCCAGGGCTTGAGGCATTGAGACCGCCCTGGACTACTCGGAGGGCCTGTTGAGGCCAGCTGGGACTACACTGAGGTTCCCTGCTAGAATCCAAGATGCTGGTGGGAGTCTCGCCCCTTCAGCGGTCGAGCAGGCTCGGTCTTGACTTCATTCGGCAGCCGAACGGGCTCAGACGCCGAATGAGCTCAGAAGCCAACCTCTGGGCACTCCTGGGGCCTGCTGAAGCCAGCCGGGACTGCTTACCTGGGGGGCCGTCTGGGCAGGGCGCAGCCTGAAGCCATACCAGTCGGTGCAGCCATACTAGTGGGGGCCGGTCCACAAGGAACCTTCCACAAGAAACCCAACCCTGAGACCCCAGGACGTCCGCTGGTTTTTGGTGTGGGAGCGTCACGCATCTTCCACCGCAAGACCATCGAAACAAAAGGAACCCAGGGCACCCTGGAGGCGAGCAGGGTGCTTCTTGGCATGGGCCTCCACCGCAGGGGGCGGGCCTTGGAGGATCGAGCGTCGACCTTCGAGGATCGACGCGTCAAGCCTCTCGGGGTCTGACGACTCTTTGGCCATTCTCTGGAGGAGGAGGAGGAGGAGGAGGAGGAGGAGGAGGAGGAGGAGGAGGAGGAGGGGAGGAGGAGGATAGAGGTGTCGAAGGGTCCAGGGGCCCATGGAGGCAAGCAGGGTGCTTCTTGGCGTGGATCTGCACTGCACTGTGGCCCTCGCTCCTCATCCCGCGCAGGTCGGCCAGGACCTCCGGGTTCAGGGGGCCAGCGCCCGAGCCAGCCTCCGGCACCTCTCGGAGGAGGGCCACTCCTCCTCCCCCTGCTCCTCCTCCTCCCCCTCCCCCTCCTCCTCCTCCTCCTCCTCCTCCTCCTCCGCCGAGGCAGGTCACGGCGGCCGCCGCAGGCATTCTTCGTCCCTGTCCCGCGGTGCGGTGACGGCGTTGGAGAAGGAACCCTCACATGAGGAATCCAGGGCCTGGAAGCTGGTCAATCACCAATCGAGGCTTGGCCACAGACATCGCCGCCGCCCTCCGCAGACATGGAATCCTCCATGGCCTGAAGCCACCTGGGCAAACTCCTCAATGAACACCCCCGCCGTACTGGCGGACCGCCCTGGCGTTCTGTGTCCTTTTCCCGCACTGACGTTCGGTCGATTTTGGACGAACAATAAAACATATTCAAGAAACGCTCAAAACATACACAACCAAAATAATAGAAAAATCATTGCCCGAATATTTTTGGACTTTTCTTGAATGTTCCTCCTGTAGAGGGACACGCCCGACTCAGCACCAACGTTTCGTTCGAGGATTCTGTTGGGAAGGGCCACAAAGGAGTCCCACCAGGGGGGGGGGCGGGGAATCGAGGACGCCCCGCCCGGCAGCCGCTTCGCGTGATCCTTCGCCACGCTCTCTGCGGGAACCCGGCCCTCGCCGCGACGCTGGCTGCATGCATTGCTGGTCCGGACGGCCAGGCTCCCTAATAAGACACACACCGAAGTCCACATGGCCGCGCTCCCAACCCTGTCCCTTGCAGTGCGGGCGCGGCCGCCAGAAACCCTCGCAAGAAGCCCAACACTGAGGACCCGTGCGCGAGGTGCAGCCGAGGGGAGACCTGGAGCACCCTGAGCGCAGCAGCTCCTTCAACGGCCGCGGGAAGTCACCGCGCAGCGCGAGGAGCGAAGACACCCAGGATACCCTGACGAACAGCACACGGTTCCTTGCTGCGCGCCCCCACTGCATAGTTAGCCGACCTCCTGCCGTTTGAGCCGCCTCTTCACCTCTGCTGGCCTTGGGGAGTGCTCTGCTGGGGAAACTCGGCCCCCTGGAGGCTTCTCGTCGCCAAGGCCGGAGCCGCGTCGAGCCACGGGCCAGGATTAAGTCGGGCCTGTCCCTCTACAGGGGGAACAGAACTAGTCAACAAATAGTCTGGGGACGACTTCTTTTGTACCAGTTTTGAATATTCTTGGGGCATAGTTTTTGAATCTTTTAATTTTTTGCCCAAAATCACCCTTGTAGGGGGACAGGCCCGACCTAAGGTCAGGATGGACCCCACGGGAGGGGCTGGGGGGCCCAGTCTCGAGCGGCCTCGGGGCAGGGCGGGAGGAGCACCGCCGCTGTCTCAACGGGCCCTCCTCCGAACCTCCGACTACGAACCAGCCCGCCCCAGACCCAACCCGAAGACCCGAACTTCGGGCCGGGGGGGAATACACGTCGGTCGGAAGAAGCAGGTAGAAGCATGAAGTAGGAAGGCGGATGAAGTGGATTGGGTCCAGGCCCTCCCAGATAATAACAAAACACAGCAAAAGCATGTCGATTCTTGAAGTAGGAAGGCGCTTGAAGTAGATTGGGATCTGGGAATCCAAGAACACCTACTTTCAACAACCGGCGTGTACGGGTTTCATTCGCTTTTTTTTGTTTGTTTCTCTCTCTCTCTCTCCACTCCCCGGCCCCTCCCCCCTGGACACGAGTGTCACACTTGGGGCCTTCGGGCACGTTGGGGTGGTTTGGTGGGCGGCGAGCCTTGTCGCCGTGCTGATCCACCTCCGCGACTTCGAAGGGGACGTGGTTCTCCTGGCGGGGGGGGGGGCGCGGCGGCCGCCGCTGCCGTGGGCAATACGCCCGCCGCCATTTCCTACTTCTTCTGCGGGGCCTGCTCTCTCCTCGTGGAGAAGGCACTCTTGCCGTCCTGCGCATCCTCCTCGTCCTCCCACATCCTCCTCAGGATGCTTTCCCATCGTACTTGAGGACCGCATCCAAAAAATAACTTCGGCACGGGCCCCACACGAAAAAACCCTCGAGTTTCGGTACTTCCTTGGTGCTCGAAATTCTTTCCGGTTATCAAGGAACATCATAACCTTGGAGCTGGATGTGTCCCAGCCCGAGCTGGATTTGCCCCCCCCCCCCCCCCCCCCCCCCCACCACCACCACCCCCCACCCCACCCTGCGGGGACAGCAGCAAGCGGCCACAACCACATCGGAGACACACACCCTGGGGAATGCCTTGCGCGTGTCCAAACTGTCGGAACACCGAAACCAGCGTTGTACTGGTTGTGGTCGACGTAGCGTCCCACGACGGCCAAATCGACTACAACCACAGCCGACGGGGTCATGTCCAGGTCGGTAGGTTCTCCCCCGAGGGCCCCTCCCAAAACACCCACTCAAATGTGATTGTGGTTTCTTGTTGTGCCTGGACACCCACTCCCTGGTCTCAATCCCACCAGGCCTCTGAGCGCAACGCCGCTTCCGTGCTCTCTTCTCCCAGTCTTAAAGGGAGCGTCTCAGCACTGCTCCGTGCTCAGGAAGACATCCGTAGCCCCTGGCCCGAGGCCATCTCCGGGACGCGGCAGTTAGTCGCAGACCTGGTGCTCCAGAAGCGGCGATGGCTACCCTGGGGGGGGAGGGGGCCAGGGACGCTCCTGCAGGCCCCCCCCGGGCCACGCGAGGACCACTCGGAGGGACCCGCCGAACCTGGAAGACGAGACCGGCCTTCGCCAGCCATCCGCTCCTGCCCTCCCAGGGCCCGGTGCAGTCAACCCAGACGGTGCCCGAGCCGCGGGGGACTCAGGCGACCCTTGTCCACCAGCAAGCGCGGCACTCAGTCGCATACCTGGATCGAGCGAGGATGGAGGGGAGGAGCGTTCTCGAGGGCGCGGGATGGGTCGTGAGCCCGGCAGGTACCTGGACAGCAGGCCCATCGGCATTCCCACCTCCCCCGGCGTCGGCGGACCTGGTCTTACCTCGCCCCCAGGCCGGTTGGCGCACACCGTGGCTGACCCAAGTCACGGCGCCTGCCCACAGGTGCACGGTTCCCCCCGGGGCCGTAGGCGACCCGAGGAGGAGGAGGAGGAGGAGGAGGAGGAGGAGGAGGAGGAGGAGGAGGAGGAGGAGGAGGAGGAGGTAGAGAAGGGGGAGAAGGAGGAGGAGATGGAGGAGGAGGAGGACGATGAGAACGAGGAGAGAGGAGGAGGAGGAGGAGGAGGAGGAGGAGGAGGAGAGAGGGAGGGAGGGAGGGAGGGGAGGAGGGAGGAGGGAGGGAGGGAGGGAGGGAGGGAGGGAGGAGGAGGAGGAGGAGGAGGAGGAGGAGGAAGAGGAAGAGGAGGACGGGTCTCCTAAGCCCTTCGGAGAAACCCTCCACCCACAGAGTCTGGGGTCTAGGGGTCCTCTTTCCGCCATCAAGCGCGGCAGTTAGTCGCACGCCTGAACCTGGTCACGCGGAGATGGGCGGCCCCCAGAGGGGATAGCGACGTGTGGGGCCTCTGGCGATACTCATGGGCTCCTGCCTCTCGGCGATCCCGCTGCACACCACCCTGGTGAATCCGTTCCCACTGCCTCCTCTGCCTCCTCGCGACTAACCCAGATCGCGCTTCGTGCCCGCAGCTCCTGACGGAGCCCGCTCCACCAGGAAGCGCGGCAGTCAGTCGCAACACTGGCACGGTGCCCTGCGGGCCTTACGTGGGTAGCGGGTCGGGCCGGGCTCACCCGCCCATGACACCAGAGGACGGTGCGCCCAGCCGCGACACAGGTGGGGGCCTGGAAAGCAGGCCTGTCGGCCATCCCGCTCCCCCAGCACCGAAGGTTCCTCAGAAGCACCTGGACTGTTGGACGGCAGTGTGGCTAACCCAAGCCGCGCTGCCGCAAGGCAGGCGCGGGGCGGCCCCTTGCCACCAGCAAGCGCGGCAGTTAGTCGCATAATTACCTGGACCGTGGGCGAGAGAGGAAGCCACCCCGTGGGTGCGGCGGATGACAGACACGAAGGCGTAGACCTTGATGACCGGCCTTCCGGCCATGCCGCTGACCCCGACGCGGACGGTCTGGACCCCATTCCCTCAGGTCTGGTGGAACCCGGCGCGGCTAACCCAGCTCGCGACGACACTCTGCCGGCCCAAACGGACGTATCCCCACCAGCATGCGCGGCAGCCGGCTACGTGCCCGGGATGGCGACCGCTGCAGTTAAGTCGGGCATGCCCTCCTGCAGGGGGATTTTCAACGAACAAAAGAAAGCCTAACAAGTGCACAACAAAATGGTCACACATGCTACGATGTTTTGACTGTTTAGGCCCGACTTAACGCTGGAGACAGGGACCCCAGTCCCGTCCACCCGCAGGCGTCCCCGGGGCCGGGTGTGGCCGACTCAGGCTTCGCCACTGCCCAGGGGGCTGACGCTGCCTATACCTGGCACCTGGCGCCACTGGCGGGCGGCATGCGATCGTTCCCAATCATCTTGTGGTGGTGGGTCCTCGTTTTGAAGAGACGGTGCCCCGCGCTCTCCTCCTTCCTCCTTCCTCCTCCTCCTCCTGCTCCTCTTCCTCCTCCTCCTCCCTCCTGCTTCCCTCCTTGCCTCTGCTCTCCGCATGCCCATCCCATTTCGGCGAACCCCTTACAGGGTTCGTGGCCCCATAGGGAGCTCCACCGAAGGCCCCAGTGGCAGCGTTCGCATGCAGTTCCACCCTCATTTCGGCGCACCCCTCACAGGGTTCGTGGCCCCATAGGCAGCTCCACCGAAGGCCCCAGTGGCAGCGTTCGCATGCAGATCCACCCTCACTTCGGCGCACCCCTCACAGGGTTCTTGGCCCCATGGGGATGCCCACCGAAGGCCCCAGTGGCAGCTTTCGCATGCAGTTCCACCCTCACTTCGGCGCACCCCTCACAGGGTTCGTGGCCCCATAGGGAGCTCCACCGAAGGCCCCAGTGGCAGCGTTCGCATGCAGTTCCACCCTCATGTCGGCGCACCCCTCACAGGGTTCGTGGCCCCATAGGCAGCTCCACCGAAGGCCCCAGTGGCAGCGTTCGCATGCAGTTCCACCCTCATTTCGGCGCACCTCTCACAGGGTTCGTGGCCCCATAGGGAGCTCCACCGAGGCCCCAGTGGCAGCGTTCGCATGCAGTTCCACCCTCATGTCGGCGCATCCCTCACAGGGTCCGTGGACCCACAGGGAGCTCCACCAAAGGCCCCAGTGGCAGCGATCGCATGAAGTTCCACCCTCATTGCGGCGCACCCCTCACAGGGCTCGTGGACCCATAGGGAGCTCCACCGAAGGCCCCAGTGGCAGCATTCGCATGTAGTTCCACTTTCACTTCGGCGCACCCCTCACAGGGTTCGTGGCCCCACAGGGAGCTCCACCGAAGGCCCCAGTGGCAGCGTTCGCATGCAGTTCCACCCTCACTTCGGCGCACCCCTTCACAGGTTCGTGCCCCATAGGAGCTCCACCGAAGGCCCCAGTGGCACGACACCTCGGAGTCCCCCTCTCTTTCGGCGCAACCCTCACAGGGTTCGTGGCCCCATAAGGAGCTCCATCGAAGGCCCCAGTGGCAGCGTTCGCATGCAGTTCCACCTTCATGTCGGCGCACCCCTCACAGGGTTCGTGGCTGTGGCCCCACAGGGAAGCTCCACACCTGAATGCCCCAGTGAGCAGCTCATCATCCTAGCCATCTGTCTCGCATTCGGCGCAACCCTCACAGGGTTCGTGGCCCCATAAGGAGCTCCATCGAAGGCCCCAGTGGCAGCGTTCGCATGCAGTTCCACCTTCATGTCGGCGCACCCCTCACAGGGTTCGTGGCCCCATTGGGAGCTCAGCTCCACCGAAGGACCCCAGTGGCAGCGTTCGCATGCAGTTCCACCATCATGTCGGCGCACCACTCCCAGGGTTCGTGGCCCCATAGAGAGCTCCACCGAAGGCCCTAGTGGCAGCGTTCGCATGCAGTTCCACCTTCATTTCGGCGCACCCCTCACAGGGTTCGTGGCCCCAGTGGGAGCTCCACCGAAGGCCCGAGTGCAGCGATCGCATGCAGTTCCACCCTCATTTCGGCGCACCCCTCACAGGGTTCGTGGCCCCATAAGGAGCTCCACCGAAGGCCCTAGAGGCAGCGTTCGCATGCAGTTCCACCCTCATTTCGGCGCACCTCTCACAGGGTTCGTGGCCCCATACGGAGCTCAGCTCCACCGAAGGCCTCAGTGGCAGCGTTCGCATGCAGTTCCACCCTCATTTCGGCGCACCCCTCACAGGGCTCGTGGCCCCATAAAGAGCTCCACCGAAGGACCCAGTAGCAGCGTTCGCATGCAGTTCCACCTTCATGTCGGCGCACCCCTCACAGGGTTCGTGGCCCCATAGGGAGCTCCACCGAAGGCCCCCGTGGCAGCGTTCGCAGAAGCAGTTCGATGCAGTTCGTCCACCCTCATTTCGGCGCACCCCTCACAGGGTTCGTGGCCCCACAGGGAGCTCCACCGAAGGCCCCAGTGGCAGCGTTCGTATGCAGTTCCACCCTCATGTCGGCGCACCCCTCACAGGGTTCGTGGCCCCATAGGGAGCTCCACCGAAGGCCCGAGTGGCAGCGTTCGCATGCAGTTCCACCCTCATGTCTGCGCACCCCTCACAGGGTTCGTGGCCCCATAGGGAGCTCCACCGAAGGCCCCAGTGGCAGCGTTCGCATGCAGTTCCACCTTCATTTCGGCGCACCCCTCACAGGGTTCGTGGCCCCATAGGGAGCTCGACCAAAGGCCCCAGTGGCAGCGTTCGCATGCAGTTCCACCCTCATTTCGGCGCGCCCCTCACGGGGTTCGTGGCCCCATAGGGAGCTCCACCGAAGGCCCGAGTGGCAGCGTTCGCATGCAATTCCACCGTCATGTCGGCGCACCCCTCTAAAAAGGTTCGTGGCCCCACAGGGAGCTCCACCGAAGACGGTGCTCACAGGAGCGACACTCACAACTGCATATGGTTGGGTCCTGCGCCAGGTTAATTGACGTTGCGTCGGAGATGCCAACGGGGCTGGACCTTGGTAGAAGAAAAACAAACCACATAACCATAACTTTTGGCGCTCCGCGCGGATTGCTTGGATTCGCGCTGGACCCCCCCTCCCTGGCGCGCGGACCGCGCCAGGGGCGGCGCCGGAGGCGCCGCCGGGGGGCCCAGGCGCGGATGCAAGAAATCTGCGCAGAGCGCCAAACGTTTATGTTTATGTGTTTTTTTCTTCTCCGAGTTGGGTGACTGCATCGCCCCGACGGCGGCCCCCGGGCCCCTGGGCCCAAGGACAAAGAGAGAAAGCCACGCGCAGGCCACGCACCGGGGCGAGGCGGGACTGGAGCAGGCCAGCGCTTTCCCCCAGGAGGCCTGAGCGGCCCCTGCCGGAGCGTCGACTCGCGCCCGGGACGGCCCACCGACCGGCGCCCCCATGGACCTGGACGATGCAGTCATCGGCCTGACCTAAGGAACGATACATAAGGATCGAAGCGCCTTTTCTTATCCAAGGAATAACGCAGAATGAACGATACACATAATAGATAACGCGTAAGGAACGATAAACGACAAATGCAATCCTAAGGAACGACCGAGCCCCTTTTGAAGAGTAAGGGTTCCTTACTCAAGACGCTCACTGTAGCGCCGCGCGCATTCGGTATAAACTTGTTACAAAGCTTCACGGACTCCCATGATCAGCGTACTAGAAATGGTGTTTTGGAAAGATGCAGGATTACGCGGGTGCAACAATTACGTTGGTTCACGGTGTAGAAATGCAGTGGAATGGCGTTCTGGCACAGTTCAGGCTCGTCAAGACGCAACAGTCAAGTTGATCCGTGGCGTTGAAATCACGAGAACACTGCTTTCGCAGACTTCAGAATCGTCAAACAGGTGTCTTCCGACGAGGCAGTTCCCTCAGTGGAGATGAACCGCTGTAGGAGTCCCCTAGACGAGGAGCTTGAGGGACGGTTATACCAACATCGATGATGCGTCTTAGAGTTACACTGGTCCCTCCCTCCTCTTCTCCTGCTCTTCTCCCTCCGTCTGCAGCTCTCTCCTCCTCCTCCGGCCACCTCCTCCTCCTCCTCCTCCTCCTCCTCCTCCTACCTCCCCTCCTCCCCCTCCTCCTCCTCCTCCTCCTCCTCCTCCTCCTCCTCCTCCTCCTCCTCCTCCTCCCCCTCCTCCCCCTCCTCCTCCTCTTCCGCCTCCTCCTCCTCTCTCTCCTTGGTCCCCCTTCTCCGCCGAAGACGACGGCGACCCTCTCGACGAAGAGAACGCCCACGGCGTCGCGCTGCTCTGCTCTGCATGGGGCCGGGCGGCCCCCCCGCTCCCGCTCCTGCAGCATCGCCCGCAGCTCGCCCTGCGAGGGGCAGAGCACTGCGCAAGGCGCCTCCCGCGTCGGCGCGAGGCTCCCGCCGGCCGCGTGGACCGCGCAGCCCGCGCCGTCGCCGACCACCGTGACGCTGAACCTCCGGGAGGCCTCCCCTCCTCATCCTCATCCTGATCCTGATACTGATCCTCATCCTGATCCTTATCCTCATCCTTATCCTCCTCCTCCTTCTCCGTGTCGTCCCCCTCCCCCTCCCCCTCC